GACGAGAGAGAGAGAGAGAGAGAGAGAAAGAGAGAGAGAAAGAGAGAAAGAGAGAAAAAAAAATATAACTTCTGTGAGAGTTCGTTGCGACGAATAAAAGAAGGGGAACAATAAGGTCGAGACTTACCTGAACATCAAAGTGAGTAGTGGTGTCTTGTGGCTGCGGGGGTCCCTGTTGCTGTTGTTGTTGCTGGGAAGGTGGGGGGCCCTGTGGGGGTGGCGGAGCCTGTGCACCAAAGAGTTGTGCCGCGTGCGAGTGTGGATGTTGAAGATGATGTGTCGGTGGTGCTTGATGATGTTGAAGATGATGCGGTGGAGCTGGGGCAAAAGCGGCCATGAAATGTTCCTCGCTTCCAACGACATCGACACCAGGTTTTAACAGTACGACCCCGCCACCACCAGCGCTCACAGCCAGAGTTGCAGCCGCGTTCTTCTGAAATTCCTCCTCGCCTGGAGAAGGTTGGCGACTCCCAGGTGTACGACTGTAAATGAAGAATAACGTTGTTCTCAGCGATCTCTTTTTTCTTTCGACGAGAAAAAGTAATTCGTTATTGGATAATATTCGGAAACAATGATCGTCGTAATGTAGATAAATGTAGAACAATCGAATACGACAACGATATTATAATTTATGACGATATTTTGATACAAGAGTAAAGAGGAAGCAAAGATGAAGAGATTATGCAGTCTTTGAAATAGTAAAATGAGATACTTTTCATATTTTGCTCTTCGTGCGTTCCATTCCAATTTATAAGCATTTGAAAACAGCCTATAATATATTTGACAAAGATAAACGAATTGTATCCGGTAAATCTTTAACTGGAACAATAGAGGATGCACAAATTATTCGTGAATACGTTATATATATATAAAAAAAATTGACTTTTTTTGTATCTCAATAAAGATAGATGTTTGCTTTGCAAAGACGATTGAACGATGAATTTGAATTTTTGTTTTAAATTATAAAATTAAAATTTTAAATTATAAATCCTTATAAAAATTTCAGTAACACGAATGAAATCAATGATAAAAAATTATACTACGATCAGACTGTTGTTCTTATTTTCTATATTTTTAAAGAAAGTGACGTATCTTTCCTTAGCCATTATAAAACGACAATCGTAAATGTCATGGATCTGATTCTGTGTGACGTGAACATAGAAATCTTAGAGTAAAAGAATTCTATTTTACGCATCCTGATAGCTATCTTTTTGCAACGTTACTCAAGTGTTTACACTTATACGTACGTATAATTATAAAATACTTAAATGTATAATTATATAATTACAATACAATCAAAACAAACGAATGATAAAGAGAAAAATAATAATTAGAAAGTCGCAATTAGCTCCTTCCGAAACCAATTACTTAATTTCCTAACACAAATTAAAAATCATTAATAAAATTATAAAAATATAAGAAATAATTCATTTGACAACTATTATAAATATCATTATGAAAGTCGCCATAAAACAAATCGATATATTCTGCATAATATTTAAAAAAAAAAAAATCTTTCCAAACTTGTCGTGCAAGATTCTACGATTAGTAACGCAAGATAACGGTATATTTCGCAATGACAAGCGTAATATAATTCAATGTTCGCGAATTCAATATTTAGAAATCTCATGAAAAAGTAATGAGTAAACATTATCATTATTCTTAAGTAAAAACGATAAGATTATTATATAAGTTTCAATGTATTTTTCCTACTTTATTTATTCTGTTCTTTCGTTCTATTTTATTATGTGAATCCACTCGATCTCGGTGTTCGATTTTTAATAAAAAAAAATTTTAATAAAATTCAAGAAAATGATAACAGAAAACGAAGCATCAATAGTTATATTAAAAAATTTGCTATACGTGCAATAAACATCAATTTACAATTTTAATCAATATTTAAAAATATGAAGATTTTTCGATAAACAAATCAGGAATGTTTTCGTTACTTAACAAGAAAAAATAAACTGCAGTAATAATAAACCGCATAAAGAATGTCGGTAATATCGAACATACGAAGATCAAGCGAGACACCAGATGGCGTACAATGATGGTGCAAGAAAATCTAAAGACACAAATTTATAATGTCGTCGTTCGACGAGTAGAACATACACGCCCTTGACAGTTAGTCCTATTATATTTCTCAATTGTGTTGCTCACAGCAATAGTAATTGTTCACGAACAACATGTGACACATTCACAGTCGTTCAATTGAAAACAATTATATATAGCTAGAGCGAGAATAGAGCTACGCACTTTTTCTTGTGAAGTCATTTACGCAAAAGCTAAATTTGTCGTAGGTCACGTTATAATGACCAATAATAAAACCATGTGTACACTTATATTTTCATAATACAGATATCTTTGCTTCTCTTTAAAATATTTTTTATAATATGATTTTCTTTCGCTGAGAAACTATTTCTAGGATACTATGCTATACTTACTTAAATCCTTTATCATCATCAAGACCATTCTGGGATGCTAATCCGTTATTTTGTGGACCTGTATCGTCTTTAGAACTGTCAAATGGGCTTGCCGAGCCCTTCTCTTTTTCTTTCTTGTCTGCATCAGTATTCTGCATAATGAAAACAAAAAATATATTTCAATAAAAATTTTGTTTCTCCTCTTTGCACGTATTTTATTTCGGTATTTATATAATTACCAATCTCAGGGAAACCATTCTGGGCTCCAAATCTTTGGGTGTCGTAGGACTTGATCCAAGAACATATTCGACCATTTTAACACCCAGACCACCCGTTTCACTGTGACAAGACAAACCATGTTTTTTAACATTCGAGTATATTGATAAAACACGTAACAATATCCGATTTTTTTCAAACGATATACCAACCTGCTTCTAGGGCTAAGAACTGTTCCAACTTCTGATGTTTGATGATGGTATCCAGTACCGACACCCACACGTCTTCCTGTACCCATGGAAATCGGCTGTGAGACGGCATGATCTAAAAAAAGATTGAAAATATCGTTAATCACGATACCACGTGGATGCACATTTCGATCAACGTTCATTCCCATTAACAAAATTAATATTAAATTGATACTCACGTGTGAAATAAACATTCAATATGCCTTCAGTTTTAACCGATTATTGAAACATCCATCTCATTACATCGCTATAAAAATTCTTTGATTCAAACTTCTTACTGTTCAAAATAATGCTAACAATGATCAGTCGCATATTTAAAGAGAAAAGAAGAAAAAAAGAAAGAAGCTATTCAACGCGAACAAAACTCGACAATTTTAAAAGGAAACGTTAACAATATCCCGAAACCGTATCGTGCTTGTGTCGTATCAACCGGCAATCGATAAAAGGCGTGGGGCGAGAAACCCGCAAAGGTGTAACGGAAATTCTATCATAAAAATCCTTAACAGTTCGCCACTGTATTGCCGCCTCTCCCGCGAGACCGTTTTATTCAAAGGGTTTCGCGAGGTGGTCGAGGAAGGAAGGAAGGAAGGAAGGAAAGAAGAAAGGAAGGAAGGAAGAAAGAAAGAAAAAAGAAAAAAAAAAAGAAAAGAAAGAAAAAAGATGAATTCATACATCATGAGAAAAGAAAGGTTCACGAGGATTCCAGAGGGCTGTATGAATTTTACGATTCCATATGACGCAATTTTGTCGGGTCCAGGTAGATATATATACATACACATATAGATATACATATACATATATATATACATATATATATACATATATATACATATATATACATATAGGGGGTTGGTGTGGTAGCGTACAGGGTGGATCAGTAGGTACGACCCTGGGCATTGGGACGTTGCTCCCACCGCCGCTGATGCCGGGCGTCTGTCGCCATGGCAACAGCCGCGTTGCACCCATCGAGGTGACGCACACATGCAAACTCGGGCCGCGTGCACATGAAAGCCGGTACATGCCGTCGCGAGAATCAGGTGTTTCGTGCATACATTGCACACAGAACACTGCCGCGGTACCATCGCCCTCGCGCAACAACCCTGTACGACTTAAGGCTCCGTTTAATGAGAAAGAACCCCGCGCAACCTTTCCAACCTCTCACTCCATTTCTCCTTACCATCCGCGCTTCTACCAATTACCACGGTAATCCGTTTAATTGACGAGAAATTCTGACGATTTCTCCAACGACACGAAACGGCTATAAAATAAGCAGGAAGAAATCTAAATACTAGCCGAGCCGGGGAAAGACGGACGGACTCGTCTGGATTAGAGTGTAACGAGAACTTTAAAACGATTCGAAAGGGGGCAGGGGCGAGGGGGGGGAGGGGGGAGAGGGGTTAAAGAGATAGAGAAGTTCGTAACACCGAGGCTCGAAAATACCAGAAGCCTGGGTGATATCGATTGATCGTAAAAGCAAGGGGAAAGAGAGAAAGAGAGAAAGAGAAGGGGGATGGACTTTGTAGATTTCCTTGGTTTTCGTAAAAGCAAACAGTTAGGAGAGATCTGTTTTGGTAGAGTATCGATTATTGACATTCCGCTCGAAGCTGCGGAGACACAAGTATTTCTACTTTCGTCTCTATATATTGTTCTTTCGGCGCTGTACCAATCAATAAGCGCGCACGACGTAAAACACGCGGTATCGCTCTCGCATTTCGTTGCATCCTCCAACCAAGGAATGTGATACGGTATATAACGGCTCGTAAGTCAAACTTTTCAATATGATTCATCTTTCTCTCTAATTTTATCGGGGGTCTGAAACATCGGTATCGAACGTTCAGAGAATTCTACGTCACCCGTCGTCGAGGACCTTGCCGACGATTGCCGACAAGGCGCGCGCGTTTTATTTGTCCGAACGACAAAAGGATACGGTGTTAATCGGAATCAGCTCTTTAGTTTTTTTTTTTTAATGTGTCACGATTCTAAGTAATACCAGCTAATGTCTACATAATGTCCAATATATCATTGCGTTAAAATTAGAGAGCTTACGCCGAAATAAATTTTTTCAAATTATCACACCTTTTTTTTACATCTCGCAATATTAAAGAAACCAGCTCAACGATGTCGTCGCTCTTATTAAGTACAGTTAGAGAGAAGCCAATGCTCGAATACCTGAACTAATAAGCTCAATATCTTTTAAATTGCTATCAATACGTCTCGAGAAAATGACACTCGGGTACAAAAATTAAGATCCGTACGAGTGGCGATTGAAATTTTCGCGAAAGAACAAATATATATATATATATATATATATATATATATATATATATATATATATA